ACAGCCCGAGCATCCAGCCCTGCTGCTCTCACACCCTCGGAGACATCGCTCGCGCGGCCAAACCCGCATTTCTTTCAGAGGATGCAACGAGGGGAAGGAGCACAGTCCCCCCCCCCCCGGCTGTGAACGGGCCCACCGTTCCTGCTGCTCCTCAGGGCTCGAAGGAAATGAGAAACCTTCTCCCAGGTCTCCTGCCCCAGGCTGTCTCTGCCCTGGTACTCACCTCCGCGGGGAAGAGCCAAGGGACTGCAACAGCCAGAGCCCCCCAAGACCCCGGGACCGGAGGGCAGAGCCAGGCAGGAGTGGGAGAAGAGACTTTAAGGAGTTTCTGGTGGAACAGAGGAGCTGTGTGGTGGGCAAATACAATGACGTTACAGCAGGAACATTTCTCTTGGCCCCAGAATGCTTTTTCTGGCTGAAGGGGTGAGACAGGGATGGATCTCTGCCTCCTGGTAGCACAGGCTGCCAGGGGGTCAGTCTGGGCACCTGTGTGAGCAACAAACAGCTCCCTCCACCCACAGCAGCCAGAGGGAGAACTCAGCCAGGAGCACTAGGCCTCTGCCTAGGCTGGCACAGCATCCCTGGCACAGGACATCCCGCCCTGCCTCGCGTGGGAGAGGATGGAACAGCAAGGCAGGGACTCCTTTTCTTGCTTCTGCCATCCTGACACATGGGGTTGTGGCATCTCGTTCTCCAAAAAAGAAGACAGGCTTCTGGCTCACTTTCAAATTAGGTTTTTAATTAAATAAATAACGGCGAGGGGTCTTCAAGGCAGTGTCACTTCACAGTGTAGGGCTGGGGGGAAAGGGGGAAAAGAGTCCAGCATTGGGAGCGGCTCAAAGTGAATGTGCTTTGTAAGAAGGAAAAAGAAAACCCCAACAAAAAAACCAAAACCAAACCTCCTCCCCCAGTGACTCCCCCTCCCTGTCCCAGCCTTTTCCACCCCTCTCCCTCAAAGTTTTGTGGAGAAAGCGCTGAGCTCCTGTTGAGAGACCCCATGCGATTCTGTAAACACTGAAGGACATAAATAAGAGATTTCTGCCTCCCCCAGCTCCCCTTCCTTTCACTAGGGCTTGAAACAAACCAAAAGAAAAAAATGGTTTCAGGAAAACTAAGAATGTCCTCAGCCAATGGAGAAGAGATGCCAAGGTCTGGCCTGGCCTGCCCTGGGAGGGCTGCCCAAGATCTTACCCTGCCTGCTCTTCTTCCTTCAGCCAAGGAGCTTCCTCTCACCCCTAGAAAGGGGAATCACAGCCTGGGCAGTTCCACTACGGAGTGAGCACTTGTGGTTTGCTTTCCATTCCCAGCAGCTGGGAGCACTGGAGGGGAAGCCTCTGCCCACACCTGACTGACAAAGCCATGCCAGGTGAAGGCACCTCCCTGCAGAGTGCTGGGGACTGAAGCAAACTCCTGCTAACAGATCTGGGGCTTAAGAGATGAGACAAGGTCTAATCTGGCCATCCCATGAGGCTGCTGGATGCTGTCTCTGTGCTCCTGCTGCAGGGCTGAGCACACCTTCCCAGGGCGGGGTGAAAGGAGGAGGCAGGCTCAGGGGTTTAGTTACCTTCCAAACACTGGCAGCAGAGCCCAGGGCACGATCACAGCCCCAAAGCAAGCAAAAAACCCCAACCTGAGTCCCTTCCCAGCTGCAGAACGTGGCTGGAGGGAGGGACCATCCACAGCAGAGCCTTGCCCAGCAGGTCAGCAGAGAGCACTCCCTGCATGGAAAGAGGGGAATGAGAACACGTGGATCTGAGCCAGTGCAAACCCCTGACCTGAAACACACCTGGGAAGCAAAGCAGCTCTGGACCTCAGGACCCCCCCAGACTCCCCACGGCTCTGTGCAGCAGCTGGCACCCCTCACCTCCCTGAACATGGCAGAAAACACACTTTCCTCTCAGACAACAGCCTGTTTTGTGATGCTGGGAGGGGCAGAGATGTCCAGGGATGGTGTGCTCCCCTGCCTGGGACTGTGCTAGCACCACTGTCCTGAGAGCAACCTCCTCCCTCTGCTGACAAATTGTTGGAACAACCTGGGAAGCTACAGACGTTTTCATCTGCATTTTACCCCCTGGCACTGCAATTAAGTGGGAATCAGGTCATTCCCTGCCAGCAGCAGAAGTGACAGCACTGCAGAACTCTGGGCCAGCATTACTCTGGAAACTCCTGTTACTCCCCATACGAGTTCTCCCTGGCTCAGCACTGCACAGGGAGGTGAGAAGGACTCGAGGGCACATCATCCTGCTGCACCTTGCAGCATCCTTTTCCAAGACCTGACGCTTCTGCCCAAGGGCGGGACCAGGCCCCGTCCCCCCGGTGCTGGTGGGGAGCAGGCACACGTGGCTGAGGAGGCTGTGAGCAGCACTGAGCCTGCCTGGCACAACCTGTGGCTGTTGGGAGAACAGGACCAGGGGTTTCCACTGCAACACTGCTGTGGGAGAAGGGCCAACACTTATCTTCCCTTGGCCACCTCTGCAGCAAACTGCCCTGGGCACCGGCAGGCTGCACTCCCTGCAGACCTCCCACACTCTCAGACTGCACCCTCGACGTGATGGCAACACATCCCTGTTCTCACAGCACCTCTGCCCTCAGACCTGTCCTGAGGCAGGGACTGTCAGAGTAGCCTGGCATCACCTGGGGTGACACATGGTCAGTGGGAGAGGGGGGGATGGACCTCCCCCTCAGGAAAGCCAGCCACCAGCTTTGTGTGATTGTGTCAGGATACACTGGAGCAGAAAGGTGTTTGGTTTCACTGTAGCCTTGGATCGAGGAGGATGGAAAGACGAATTCCGACCAACAGCTCCAAACTGTCCCTACAGGACAGTGGAAGTTCCAGGATTTCACTCAGTCAGGTCCAAGTCCTCGCTGGGTCTGTGACAAATTTGTGACTGGAGACTCTCACTGTGACAAAGGCTCTGACCGAGCCACAGGTGCTGGACAGGCCTGATGAGCAGTCAGGAAACTATTTACATCCCCAATGCCAATGAGACCAAAATCTGTGACCGATAAGGACACTTGCGCAGGGGCCACCACTGCCTCTGGGTCTCTGTCCAAATCCACAGGGCCAGCAATTAGAGGCAACCCCTCGTTAATGTCTGCGGGGAGAGTGAAGTCCATAGTTATCGTCTCACCAGAGCTCTGCAACGTCTCCTGCTTCTCTGCCAGTCCTGGTGCCGCCGGGGGCAGAGCGAAGAGCTCTGGCTCCGAGGGGGCGGCAGCGTGTTGTGGGCAGGACGAGGCAGTGCCCGCGGGCGGTTCCTCCGCGGGGTCAAAGCAGCAATTGGTCTCCGAGGGAGTGCTGCACTCGTAGCCCTGCCCAGACTCGCTGATGCTGCCCAGGCTGCAGGCTGTGCTCTCCACGCTCAGCGGTTCTGTGTGGGCAGAGGGGCAGACAGCCGGGGCAGGAGAGAAAGCAACAGTGAGGCTGTGGCACACGAACACCCGGGTCAATCCCACCCAACCACAACAGCACAAATGTTTATTATAGCAACCCAGATCCTGCCAGCGAGCGCCGAGGACAGGCAGGATGCCGACGGCAGATGGGAGGCCATCAGTGTTTCTATGGGAATTAGAGGAAACCTCACAGAGACACTCCAGGATAAGCCAAATCCTAAATCCTATCCCCTCGTGCCAACAACCCCTGGGAGCTGCCCACACAAAGCCTTTGTCTGTGGTAGGACAGTGAGGCAACAAACCCATTTTGGGCTTGGCTGTGAGCTTTCTCACAGCCCTCTGAAAGCAGTTTGCAGCCTGAGCCTGACTCCTGGGGCCTCAGCCCACCCTCCAGGGGAGCTGCCTGGGTCAGTGCATGGGAAACACCTCACTCAGGTGTCCAAAGGCAGTGCAAATCCTTCTGCTTTAGGCCTAGGCCACCCCTCCAAGCCCAACACAGGAACAACTGTTTTACAGTCACCCCTGGTCAATGCAGAGACAGACAAGACTCTTCTGCTCACACCAAAACCTGCTCATGGGGCAAGGTGTGGGGAGAAGAGCAACAGCAGCATAATGGCAGCAGGAGCAAGGCAGAGTCTGTGCTGCTGAGTGTGGGAGACGAGTGATCCCCGTGGCAGACAGAAGATGAGGGAGTTACCTGTGCTCTCTATTGCTATCTGATCTTGACTGAAGGGAGTGTCCAGGCAGCCAGCTGCAGAGGGAAGTGGTGGGGAGGTCCGGGAACGACTGGTGTTTTCTACTTCAACCCCATCCAAGTCATTGTCAGGGAAATCCCTGTGGGGAGAGAGAGAGAACCTTGTCACCACCTACTAAACAGAGAGATGTAGGCAGCAAAAAGGGCAACTGGGACTAAACCCCATCAACAAATAAAGCAACAGGAATGACTGTCCAGGCCTGTCCATGCAGCCTGGTTTAGACTCTGCCCTGAGCTGGTGACCACAGGTAGTGCAGCATGGCCATGATCAGCCCATGACAAATCAGAATGGGCTCTCCAGCTCTCCAAAGAGCTCTGCCCACAGTTCTGGGAGCCTCAGCCCCTTCCAAAGGGGAAAGGAAACACCCAATCTCATGGAATGACTGCGGTGGGTCCTTAGTGTGCCAGCAAACAGCAAGTGATGAGAAGGTATTTTCCCACCCTGGGAGGATTTAGGATTTCAGGTATTTTCCTGTCTTGCATCAGAAGGAAAGAAATAATCTAACCCTTCATCTGATGTTTTTAATTGATTCAGTTTCAACATTTCCTTTTGACCTTTTCAGACACTTCAGTTTCAACCTTTTTGAAAAGGTGTATTTTGAAAATTATCTTCTGTAATTAGCATACATCTCAAAGGGAAGAATTTGCCTCCAAGGGTGGCAGCAGGGAAATTAATTCAGGTTCCAAACCATCAGAAACAGTGTGGTTTGGAATTTAAAAAGCTCCCTTCCCAAACCCTCATCAAG